CAATTTTCCTAAAATGTGTTGATGCCTGAGTGGGGTTTGTTTTTTTTTTCTCTTCCGATTTTAAAGGAATTTTCCATAGTTTCACAAATAGATTAATATATTTTTTTTTGTATATTTTAAGAAATACTGCCCAATTTATTAACTATATTAAGACTTCTATTGGATGAGTTTCGCAGATTATTATTATTATTATTATTATTACTATACACGAATTGAATTCATTTAAAATAAAACTTTTTAATTGAAGAACATTTTACAAATGTGATCCAAGTAATTCAAATAGAGCCAATCTGCTGAAATGATTGTTTAGATAATCTCGTTACATACACTGCAAATTTCATTAATATCCACAAAATACACGGCCCTCCATCAGAAGTTAGTTTAAACTGCTTGGAATTTGCAGTACGTAATATATAATACATTTGAACGGATTAATAATTTCGAGTTGGAGATTAGTACTATACAACGTCATTTATGCAGAAGAACTGGTTTTGTTAGAGTTGCATATAATACCCATGAAAAGTCCTGCTGCTTGGGTGGCTTTGAGTATTGTATCTTCAGTAATATTATTGAAAAACTTTAAAGAGGGAAATTAATACCCAAGTAAATAAATTTTCCGCATATTTTATGAGACTTTGTCATTCACAGCAAGTGTGGAAATTAATATTTTGGTCTTTTCCAGATTTACAGTTATTTGATTTTGGTTTGGTGACAATAAAACAAGTCAATATTAACAAAAGTCTCACCCTAAAATTCTGCAGCATATGCTTCTTTCTAAATCTTGTCTTGTACAGCTCCCCACAAAAGGACGTCGAAAACCGATATTAAATGGTAGTAATGAATCAGGATTCAGTCATGATAAAGCACAATCTTATTTTTCATTAGTATATAAACCTATAATAAAAAAAAAATAGAAATGAGCTATAAAATTTTGAAAAATATTCCAAACATCAACGCATGCATCTAATGGTCTTGTTAATATGGATGTGTGTGGTGTTTATTACCCTGAAATGAGAGCTTTCGATTTAGTTCACTTTACACAACCCATCACATGTTATGAGTTGGACGTAGGTAGGAATCACTGAAGACCAGACTCATCTGAAGGAACCAGAAATATTTTGGTGTGGCATTCCCACTTATCCAGCAATTAACGATGAAGACTCACTGGCGAGTGGATTGGAAAGCTGATGATTAATAATTCTGCCGGTCGTTGCTAATAGCAGTAAAAAAACAGCGATCGGGCAATTATAATCAAGAGAGTTAGTCAAATCATTCGCTATATAAAAAAAGATAGCCGTGGGTTAGAAACGTTAGAGGCTGGACAAATCTGGACGCCCACGCATTGATTGGAGCCACCCCATACCGAGAAAAGTTTTGCCGTGATCGTTGCCAATATTCATTGATGGATAGCTACCACAAGAAGAAGAAGAAGTCTTGAGACGAGAGTCTCGAGGCGCACAGGCTAGTCTAATGCGTTCTTTGCGCGGTGACTTTCCCTTGTCCAAGAATCCAAATACCCAGCTTTACTGAAATATCAGGGCTTTTATTTATAAGGAGAGTACAGAGCCAGTAGAAGTTGTTTGTAAAATTAATTAAATTAAAATGTTTTTTTTTATTTCGTTTGCATTAATTTTCGTTCTGTTTTAATTCCCGAACGGCCAAGGTTACTTAAATTTGCCAAGTTCTACACGAACCAACGCGGCGTGAGCCTAGAATTATGACGTTTCATAAGTTTCGTTTGCAACAATAGAAACCGCTTAATAAGTAAAGTAGGTTAAACCCATCCGGTGAGGTCACGATTTGGAAACGCGCGTTATTAAGATAATCTAGAAACGAATGAACCGCTGAAAGAACGACTTCGTAGAAAACCTGCGACGTTAAAACGCAAACGGTTTCTTTTATGGTTCCCCTTTGTGGCGAAAAGAGTACCGACGAATAATAAATATTCGCATCTAGACCTCACACTTGGTTCGATGTCTGTGTGTATGTGTGTGGCATCGATGGTGATACGATCACTTCTTCGGCCGCTACGATTCGTTAACTGTTCCTATTAAATTAATAAGTTGGTGGAGCGTTGCCGGAAATTATTGTAATGATTTTTAGACCACAAACTCACCCAGACCTCAATAGCTTCAGAGTTTCCAACTTTTTCAGATGAAATACGAGGCTATCCACTTAGATGGCCTATTAGGACGTATGTCCAGAAGGACTCAGTTTGGTATGAACTGCGCAACTTTGGAAAAACAATTTAAACAGCTAGGGATAATATTAAAAATGCAATATTAATATTACTAATGGTTAAAAAAAACACTTAAAAACTAAGATCAAAACTGCAAAACAAAAAAGAACTCTTTAATTAAGTTTAATTAATTAATTAATTAAAATTTCAATAAATTATTTATTTGTTACGTTTGCACTAAAAGACGCGATCTGAAAAGATATTTATAGTTCAATAATATTCAATAAAAAGGTAGATTTTCTATGTTAATGGAAAGGAATGAAACATTTTTATTATAAAGTTAAAAATTTACCTATTTATTTTTATTTTCTTAGCTTATTGCCATGTTTTCTCAGAATCTGAAAAATTTTCGAATTTTTGTCCGTAAAAAAGTGTATAGCTCAAAAAATACTTTTAATTTAATTTATTTTTTTCACGAAAATTAATATTTTTCATTTTGACCCACCCTGTATATTCGATTCCAACTCACTTCAAGGATAGGATGAATGACAGGGGATTTTTTACTAAATCCGAAAAAACTCGGTTTAGTCCATAACAACTCTACATCGGGTGATTGAGTATAAAAGGGAGTATCTACTAATGCATTTATATACATATATTTAAAAATATATAATTCATTTTCTGCATATTTGTTTATTTCAAACTAATTTTAAATTGTTTCTTTTAGTCCCATCTATAGCTTTTGTATTTAACATTTTGCTCTAATAAATTAATAAATAAACGAGATATATTTACTTTGACACACTATTTGGACACCCTGTATATAAGGAGCTCGTTCATCTTTTAAAAACATTTTCAAATATTGAAGGTGTGTCATGTGTTATTTTAAGTAAATGATAAATTAGTTAAATATTTTAAATTAAATAAAATTTTGAAGAACTTTTATTTGACAACTTTGTTTACGAAGAAATTGAGAAACAAGAGAGAAAAATGGTTATTTTATGACAAGTTTGATTGATTGGTAGATTGATATTTTCTTCCAATGTAACACCCTGTAATTTATCATTTTAGTAAGTTCAGTAAAAATTTAGCAAGAAAATAAATGGATTGAATAAAAATTATTAAATACTGTTAAATTAGGAGATAGAGCTTATAATAAAAAATCAATCACCCACATATTTTTGAGTTTGATTCTAAATTTAGGCAGTCTAAAAGTCACATGATAAAATCTGCAAAAATTCATAGTTTCGTAAAAAGTGTGAATCAGCGGACAAGGACAATAAAAAACAGTGAAAGTACAACCGTTGTACAATATGTAGATGCAGATGACAATAATTTTGGTTAAGTGATAACATCAGTAAGATAAGATGAGATAATTTAATATCTCTTCTAGAACTAGCAAATAATAAAAAAGTAATTGAAATAGTATTAAGCTTAAAAAAAAAGGCTGCACCTGGTAGTGATGATGGATTTGGTTAACATAAAAGATTTGATTATGGAATCGCTGGTATCATTAATAAATAAGACACATACTACTGGAATCTTTCCAGAAGAAGTAAAAACAAGTTAAGTATAACCGCATATAAAAAGTTAATTGGCCAATTTCTCTGGTAAGTGTTCCTTCTAAAATAATTGAAAACTTGAAAAAATGACGCAATTTATGGAGAATAATTCAATATCAAATAAATTCCAGTATGATTTCCTACAAAAAAGTAGTACTCTGCACCTTTGACTTTGACTTTTGACACGGTTAGCTTAGATATTATTTTGTGAAAATTACATAATATGACTCATAAGGGAATATTCTATATTATTTAAAATCAGGGGTGTACTCAGTATGTTCGGATAAGTTAGCTTTGAACCGAGACATTAGAAAACAATGGAGTACCACAAAGTTCTGCTCTTGGACCACTACTTTATTCAATTTACATGTTTAGTTTACCTTAAAGCTCAGTTTTATACATTTGTCGATGACGCATTATTAGGATATACAGGAGAAAATTGGAAGAAATTAGGAAAATTAGTATATAAGGACCTACCACATACCCCACAAATTCAAAAATAAGTTCTTAAACAAAAAAAAAACCAAAGCAACATACCTGCGATATCTAATCCCAATCTGGGTAACTTGTGAAAAGACTATTTTCAGTGAGATGCGGATTTTGAAATATTTATATATCTATCTTAGACCTACTGTTGTCCACCTCCCAGGAATAAATTAATTAAAACTAATAGAGGTTTAAATATTCCTGCTCATGTAGCATCCAAATGTTTCAATAATTCGATTGACTACATTAGACTTATCTGAATATTCCGTGAAAGAATAAAATTAATTCAAAACTAACCAAAACAAAAATTAGTAAATGTAGATTTTATTTCTATTCAATAAAGCTGTTTAAAAAAAATTAATCGAAGAAAAATATGATGGAATTTATTAACCATTAATAAGGAAAGTGATTACTTTTTTGTTGCCAATAGGGACTAGAGCTACAGATCTAAATTAAAAGAAAATAACTACAAAACTATTTGTGCTTTGACTATTATTCAACCAACATTCACTGACATGACCGTCAAAATTCAAGCCGTGCGGTAAAATCTCCGGAAACATCCGATTGCTCCGAAACTCTTGCGGAAATATTAATGGAACGAGAAACTGACGTAGAAAAATGACACTTTCCGCCCGCTAGATCGGTGTATAATTAGGTATTTTACAGAAGGAAGTAGAAAAACATAATATTAATAAATATACGGGTGACTAAAGGTTTTTATAAGTGTGGCGCGGAAAGAAGATTACATTTAAATGTGTGGTTTCTTGTTGTAGATTAGTGCAGTGATGTAACATCCATTATGGCCTGCACCACGGACAGTGGAACGGAAACTTTGTTCTCGGACGAGTCTCCGTGCGAGCTCGCGAGATCCCCGAGTATCTGCTCGGGTTATGAGACGACCACCCAAAATGACGACACTTTGTCGATCAACAGTCGCCTGGCACCTCCAAACATTCAACCGTTCAGCGGAGTTCTTGAAAAGGTCGGTATTTTTTAAAGCTTTTATCTGAGAAAACTGATTTATTAATACGTCCTATATGTAGGGTATTTCACTGTTGATGGCACCTTAGAGGGTTCCGGGATACGGTACATTGGATTGTTCTGAAAATTTATTTAATTCCATAAGCGGCGACGCTCTATCGATCTAACATATTTTTAACGCTGCGGCGTTGCCGTTACTACGAAAAAGTAACAGGAACATTGAAAGTTTAAATTGACCACCTTGTATATTATTGCATTTTCCGACCCGATAACATTTTAATGAACCAAATTCTGAGTTATACCACGTGAACAAGAGAAAATTTGCCAGAACTAAGACAACCTGTAAAAACCGTTTTACGAAAAACATTTTAAAAACTATTTTCACTAACATAATATTAGGCTCTTAAAATGAAAATCTATATCCATCAATCTACGATGGATCTATTAATTTAAAGCATCCTACAGTCCATTGACGTAACTCTTTCTTGCTCTGCACCCATAAGTAATAATCTAAAAGCTTGAGATTGGGCGATCTTGCTGGCCAATTCCATGGCCACAAACGTTTAATCCAATGGTCATTAAATAATTCTTGTGTTAGTTCTTCAGGGCAGTGAGCTGGTGGCCCATCTAATTGGTATCAAAAGGCCCAAAAGTTCCTGAAGGCTAAGATTCTCGAGAAAATCATTTACTTAATATTTGAAAGTTCATTGGATTTGAAAAGCTACTTTATTATCAACTAAACGATTCGAAAGGGAATTTAATTTACTCTTGGAATATGTGATTTTATAGAGAGTGTTCCTTTTAATAAAATGCTTTCCACCATTTTTCTATCTTTAAGCAAATCATTAGTTGTGACCAATTCTGTACAATTTCGATATTAAAAAATTCTCTTCGATATCTTCCTTAGCTGCGTCCAAAATTTGATATAGGAACATATTATTCAAAAATAATCGTAATATAAATGTATTGGTGGAATAATATACTATTTCGAAGTTCGCAGTTAGAAATATGTTATGATATGTAGGAGTCAATAATGGTTAATTTTGAAAATTAGTTTTATATTATACAGGTCGTCGCAAAATGGTTAAATGCATCATCTTTACTTTCTAAATTCTAAGATTATTTTGATATGGTCAAAGTATAGCCTATTTCTAAGGACCCCTATACTTCAGAAATATTTAAGTTGTGTAAGCGACATCTACGATACAGTGGTGACGATAAACTAACTCAATAAGAAATGTAATGGCTAAAGCATCATTCATAAAAATGGAACGCAATATTTGTTAAGCATGCAGCAAATGCTTATCAAGTGGTAGTAGGATGTCATATACCTAAAATATTCCTGCATTTTGCAGAAAAACCTAAATTAGGGTTTGTTGCAAGACTTGGTATTCAGAAATGTCTTGTAATTTCTTTGTGCTGTCAGTTTTGTCTCATTTTGCTAGAGTGCTATAATTTGGTAATTGTTAAAATTATTGTTTATATTTGGAGAATATCGACATTTTTTTTTCTTTATTTTTATTTTAAGATCAGTTTTGGTTGGTTGTTGTTATATCGTGAATAATAAACCGTTTCTTAAGTATCTGCAAATTTGTAAAATTTGTAAATATTTTGCAACCCGTTTGTTTTTAAGCATGCCATAGCTTAACCCTAATATTGGAATTTAGACGTATGTCATAAGGTATGAAAAATAAAATACCAGAGAAAGCGACGAATAGTAGCTCTATACTTTATTATTATAAATTATATAAATTTCTTGTATTGAAAAAATTAAACAACTATTACTTTCCAATCAGTTAAAAAATTAAAGTGGCAATCTTACGAATTTGACTTTGTTCTTTAGGTTTAAAATTAGAAAAGTTGAAATTTATTTTTATTTCTATTTACTTGCGTTTTTTCATTGTTTTTTTTTTTACTTGAAAGTTAATTTTTGGGACTTAAGGACTTAACTATTTATGGTACTAATTTTAAGTAGATTACCTGCTATTTTTAAATATCATATTTATCTAGCTTTTGTTAACGTCAAAAACTATATCTTCTATTTGAGGAATTAGTTTCAAAAATATGGTGTTCAATTTAAACAAGTCAGTTTATAGCCACAAATTCGTCTTAAATTAGAACAAATTTTTGGACAACCGGTATATAGAGCTATTTTTTTTATAATTGGATTATAAAATATGTTACAGGAAGTCTCGCTTTAAAAAACCTTGAGGTTTAAGTGGCCAAAACCTGAAACATTAATTTTGACCGGAGAATTCAAAAATATATAAATAAATATATGACAAACTCTGTATTGTCTAGCAGTAATAGTGTGTTAATATTAACGTTAAATTTAGGTTTTGGGAATTATGATTATTTTTGTGAAACACCTTGTATAAAATAAAGAAACTCTTAGTCAATAAAAATCGAAAGTGCGCTCTTAAAAAGTTGTAGCGACGATATTCTACCTGCAGAATCAGATTCGCAGGATATTAACGCCCTCGCGATATCGTTATTCGACTGCCGACGCTACCGAGCTCGTTACCGAACAATAAAATTCCAATTTTTTCATTTGCATACAATGGCGGCACCCGCCGCTATTCGCCAAAAGTTTCGTTTTTCTTTGGGGCTGCAGGATTAGCGATCGAGCGCGTCCAGGCCGAAATAATTATGAGCTCCGCGACGTGACCTTCATAGACACGCGTTGCTGCTGTCCGGGAGACGAGTCAAACAGTAAGCTTTTTCTATTTTTATGTTTTTTGAATAATTCAATTACGAAGTCATTAGATTAATCTGTTCAGACCGTCCTGCAGCAGCTGCGGATCGCACAAGTTGTTGATTATTGTAAAGCAGAAATGTGCAACCTTTGACAAATACGTTCGCGGACCACTTTTAAAATTAGTGTCTTATAGTAGTGTTTATAATTAACGATAATAATAGGACACTGTAATGACACTTGAGTTTGGATTTTGTAAATTATCTCAGTCAGTCTATATTGTACGATATTTTCGTTTATTAACTTTCATTATTGAATAGAACTTTATTTGGAAGGGTATTGGAGTATGTTGCACATAACTTTTTGTGGGAATAGCAAATAAATTGATATAGTCTTCTATAGTTTTGAAATCATTAAATCTCTTCGAAAATTGTTCCGACGTATATTGAGCATAAGCAATATTTTCTTTTTACAAAACTTCTGCGTCGGTTTTTGGCGAGTCGAACTTGCTGACGTTTCGGCAATCATCCTGTTGGCTTCTTCAGAGCTTGACTGTAATTGAAACCGATGCAGTAGGAATCCAGAAGTTTTGTAAAAAGTATTACAGTAGCCTGTGGAAGTTTCTTTGAAAAAAATAGCAATATTTTCACAACCAGAGAGTGTGGTGAAATGATAACTGTTACCAGACAGCATCTGCGTCTCCCACGGGCGGTTTTTGTTCTGAAACGCTTTCAAATAACTGTACAAATCATTTACTTGTTCTTGTTTTTGAAGTTTCAACTTTAAATCATTTAAATTATCTGTAAAGTCGACCAGAAATGCTAAATGCTTGGATCACTCTATCTCATTTCTCCACTTTGTTTAGCCATCTGACTTCACAATAACATATTACGTCGTCATATCCGGCTGATATTTCATTAAAAAACGTATTGAACTGACGATGGTTAAGGCCTCGATATCAAATAAAATTAATGGTTAATGGATTGTCACATCACCATGCGGCCCTCAAAACCATTAGTGTCAATTCTCTTGTTTACAGAGTTGCAAAACTATCTCACCATTTACCACCAAAAGCATAAAATGAACTCATCAGCAGTTACCGAACACAATCACTTGATGCCTTTCCTGATTGGATTTGTTTTGTTGCTTGGATAACTTTCACCTGAGATCTGACTGTCTTCTAGTCCATCGCCTTTTCGTTTGTATAATTGCAAGATGTAGTTCTCCCAGTGGCTGAATATCTCGATTATGTGTGTGGTTACTTTATTGCTCAAAGATGTACAGGCTTCGTGGGTTCCGCAGTTTTTTCAGGATTTTTCTACTTTTATCTTAGTCGTTGTTTCTTGCAGACCTTAGCAGGTAAATCTACCGAGTGCTATAGAAATGCGAATACCAAGTACTCCTTTGACTATATTTATGTTTTGTCGGCCGATGGTGTAATAACTGACGATATTTTTCTCTGCGTACAAATAAACGGACACCTTTTAACAGTTTTTGTTCTTGCTTTTATGAATTTGGGGCATTTGAGGTATTGAAAACATCATGTAACAAGTATCCAGTCAATTAAGTCAAAATTTTGGAAAAGTCCTTTCAATAAATTTGTTTGGAAGTGTCAAACTTTTATTCATATTGCAACTAATACTCGTTGTTGCACGGTATAAAGCAATGGATTGATGGGTAGGATCAAGGTTCATCGTAAACGCCACACACCATTGCTTCTTAAAATATTTCTACGCAGAACACTGGTAAATACGAGCTGGCGTCATAAACAGCCGTACAACGCAGATCGCGCGTCACTCGACTTTGAGATTATTCGTCACACCCTGTGTGTACGGAGCCGATTGGGCAAACTGCCAGGAAAAAAAGAGACGAAAAAGAACCGCACCGCGAAATAGGCAGATAAACAGTTGACCAAACATAAATAAAAGAAACCGCGACAACGGCAGAGATAAATTCGCCGCCCGATGTAAATAAGAATAAACGCGGGCGGCGGCGGGGCGCGGTGGGGCGGGAGGAGGGCGCAAACGTCGATCGCGGTGTTGCCAAGGCATTCCGGATTCAAAAAATCGTTCCATGGAATACGTGCAGACGAAAATGGGTTTGCCATTTTACAAAAATCATAAAAACTTGAATCAAAAGTCGAATCGTATTAAAGCACGCGAAAAACATAATTAATATATTATTTAAACCTCACTGAAATATAAATAGGGTCAATATTCAGAGACATCAACATGCGATAGGCATACGAACCTTAATTAGTTTATTTGTTATATTAAATTTTTCCAATACCACTTATTCTACTTCCA